GAAACTCTTAAATGACTGGCCACAATTTATAAAACAATGGGGGTTGGTGATGTGGTCAATCTCCCAATAATATTCATTAACAACAGCAGAGCCATGCTTACCAGATCATTATATCTAATGAAGCAAGGAGGTCATTAATATAGTAAGTATGTAGTAGTTCTGGGCCACCATTCAGTGGGCACCCTCAAGGCAAATGATTCCAACCAAAGTCCAATGTCTGCCAGTTCTGTGCCCTTGGGATAGTAGCCATCTGCTTCTCACACTAGGGAGTTTCAACCTTAAGTCCACTGGCTACAGGTGAGTTTGAGATAAAGCCTAATTCACTTAGTAGGGTTTGTACATGGGTCTCTTCTGGTGTGGCCTATGAAAGATGTTGTGTACCTTGGAAGAACAGAGTCTAAAGTCCCAGTAATCTATAGCCGATGGACTGAGTCACCAAGGGCTGCATAGAAACTAGGTCAAAAGTGTCCAATTAGGAACCAAGTACCAGGTATATTCTCCCCTTGAGTTCCACATAAGTATTGTTAAAATACCCCACCCCCATCCCCCGTTGGAAGGTTGCTTTTCTCTGTTTTCCGAATGACAGCGATGTAATCGCCTTCTCTGAGACATACATGCCCCACCCCCCACTTTGACTTGAATTTCCAGTAAGGGTTCCTTATCACTCTGGTAGGAGTGTCTGTTGGATTGGGGTGATGTTAGCACACTTTTTTATGCCAGCAACTGAGTAATCTCCCTCTGTGGCAGTTACATAATCTACTGTCAACTTTCGAAGGGGTGGAGTCTAGCCTGTCAATCAGGTTGCAGCTTGATGACCTCATTTGGAGGCACAAAGGAGATAAATAGCTCACGGAGATTAGATACACTCTCTGCTTCGTCTTCCTGCTGACAAGCCACACTGTGGAGCTGCACTAATGCAGCCAGAGCCCTGGAACTGGAGGATCCAGGTGGAGACCCACACCAGCACTGAGATGCTTCCACCACCACTGGATCCACAAGACTATCCACCCACTGGTCTGTGATCTTCCTGCATTCAGCATCATTGCATGGCTGCATGAGTCTAAAGAGGAATTTATGGACTAGTATTGACATATGGAGTAACATCAGACTTATGGACTTGATCTGGATGGGGCTGGGATGTCTTCTCAATATTCAATCACTCCTTGATATAAAGTTCTCTCTCGCACACATCTGAGTGTCTCCCTGGATTTGTTTCTCTAGTCAACCCAAACTAACACACCCTATCTCCACATCTTGAGAAACTGACCCCAGCTGAGGTGAGGCCTCCTCGCATCAGAACCACAGAAGTGGTTTTTAAGATGTGCATTGAGAGAGGGAGCTATGTTTCACGGATGCTCGGCAGGGTCTCTACCTCACTGGGGTAGGGGCCTGGATGAGAAGAATGCATGCCCAGGAGCAGAGGCCTGCCTTCATCTTGGTGTTTATCTTTCAGTACTGGACTCATGCAATATTTGCGCTTTTGTGGCTAACGTCACTCAGCATAAGGGTTCCCAGGTTCTTCCATCTCATGAGGTGTTTTGGGGTTTCATTGCTCTTTTTTAGGGATGTATAATCTTCCATTGATTCCAGCTACCCATTTCTTGATCTATTCTTCCACTGATAGGCATTTGAGTGATTTCCAGCTTTTTGCTATTGTGGACTGTGTTTCAATGAACATGGGAGAGCATATGCCTGTTTGTGTTTTTCCTCTCATTTCTGGGGGGTATATGCCCAGCCGGGGTATTGCTGAATCGTATGGCATTTCTATCCCTGGTTGTTTTAGGCATCACCATATCACTTTCCGCAATGGTTGTACATAATTATATTTGTTCTTACATCGACTTATGATAATTGCAGTCACCACTGTACTTACATCATTTAATGTTCTATAAATATAAAATAGCGGTAAATAATATAGTGTCTGGCAAAGGAGAGATACCTGAAAACATATATATATTTAAAATATTACATGATTACTTAAAATTCAAATAATCTATAAAATAAAAATTGAAATAACTTGGTCTTTTTCCCTTTTTATTTTTTTTTTGCCACAAGCTGCAATCTCTTTACCAAGAAGAAGCTGACCCAGGAGGAGAAAGAGATGCTTGATTATTAGTGCAACATCCTTCTGGCCCCTAGGAATGCGAAATTGGTGGCGTCTGAGAAGGGGGCATTATTAGGAGTCCAGCATTATGTCTAGACGGCGCTCTGGGATGCCAGCTGAAATGCCAGTCATTTGAACCTCCCAGCTGCTTGGCAGAGGAAAGAGGTGGCAGGCTGCCTCCTGAAAGCTTTAGTGACTGGGAGAGCCGAAGGCGCAGTTCTACTCCGATCACAGGCCTGGTGCGAGTCGCCAACAGCTAAGTGGCAGTGGTTTGTGTGAGGTCTACACGAAGACGCTCTGGCAGCTTTATTGATGTGTTTATTTTACAAATCATTTTATTGGGGGCTCTTCCAGCTCTTATAATGATCCCTACATCAATTGTATCAAGCACACTTGTACCTATGCTGCCACCATCATTTTCAAAACATTTTCTTTCTACTTGAGACCTTGGGATCAGCTCCTCTTTTTACGCTCCCTCCCCACCTTCATGACCCCTTGATAAATTATAATTTTCACATCTTATACCATCCGCTTTCTCCCTTCATCCATGTTTCTGTTGTTCGTCCCCCTGGAGGGGGGAGGGTGTATGTCGATCATTGCGATCAGTTCCTCCTTTCTACCCCTTTTCTCCCCACCTTTCCCCTGCCCACATGGTATCGTTACTCCCATACTGATCCTGAGGTGTTTATCTGTCCTGGATTCCGTATGTCGGGAGATCCGTACCAGTGTACATACTCCATTCTATCTGGATTAGTAAGGTAGAACTGGGGGGTTGGGGGAGGATGCATTAAAGAACTAGAGGAATGTTGTGTGTTTCATCGGCGCTATACGGCATCCTGGCTGGCTCATCCCTTCCTTGTCTCTTCTGTGCGGGGATGTCCGATTGTCTACAGATGGGCTTTGTGTCCACTCCGACCGCCCTTGTTTGCATCTATATGGTTGTGTGTTTTGGGTCTCCTGATGCCAGATACCTGATTTTGTCGACACCTTGTAATCACCCAGGCTGGTGTGCTTCTTGCATGTGGACTTTGTTGCTTCCCTGCTAGACGGCCGCTTGTTTAACTTTAAGACCCCAGACACTATATCCTTTGATAGCCGGGCACCATCAGCTTTCTTCACCACATTTGCTATGCACCCGCTTTGTCTTCAGTGATGGTGTCAGGCAGGTGAGCATCCCAGAATTCCTGGTTATTTGAACAAAGTGCACTTTCATTGCGGGAGGGCTCTGTGAGCTCCTGCTCAGCATGGCACATGGCGAAGCACACGGGCATGAGGAGGGAGCTGAAAGCAGGTACCACAGTGGCAGTACAAGAGCAAAGCGGTGTGTGTGTAAAGCGTGTGTGACGGTAGTAAGTGGTCTCACTCAGGAAGTTAGTGCTGACAGAATCCTCCCTCCGATGGACTGGATGCAGGATGTGAGAGCGAGTGAGAAGGGCATGCATCAAGGGTGACTCTGAGAAGGGAGCTGCCATTTTGAATTAGGGAAAACATAGGAGAGGCAAGTTTCGGGGGACCGATTGGTCATCAGAGTTGTCTACTGGGCATCCTGCATGGAGGAGGCAGTTGGACGTATTTGACAGGAGTTCAGCAGAGTCGTCTGTCTAGAGGTGTGAATGGGGTGGACACAGATGTTATCCACAGACTGATGAACGGGCATCGATAAGGATGTTGACAAATGGCTTGAGGGAGGATAGAAGCGTTCAGGGAGGAACTGAGCCCTGTTCCTGAGAAAGCAGCACAGAGGTGGAAAAGCAGGCAGGAAGGAAACGGAGCGAGTGGTTTTCTGGAGCTAAGGGGAGGGAGTGCTTTAAGACCAGGGGGTTCTTCTGGGTCAGATGCTCCTTGGTGAGGTCCAAGAAGACACCATGGGCACTGAAATCCTGGAGGTCACTGGTGAGGCTGAGCAGGCAGTTTCAGTGGAGTGATGGAGTGTGAGAGCCCGATTGAGGGTGTGTGTGTGTGTGTGTGTGTGTGTGTGTTGAAATAGCAGAGCAACCTCTCCAGGAGTTCCGCAGTAAAGTCAAACTTCTAGAAAGTGGGAGCGTAGCTGGAGAGGAAGGGGTCACGTTTTCAAATGGAAGAAATGAAAATGTAGTAGGATAAGGGTGGAAATAATACTCCAGAGAGGGGGAGACGACATCCTAGAGGAGGTGGCGGTACAGAAACATGGGTGAAGGGAGACAGCGGATGGTGTAAGATATGAAAACAATAATACTTTATAATTTACCAAGGGTCACGAGGGTGGGGGGAGGGGGGGGAAGCGAGGGGAAGAGAGAGGAGCTGATACCAAGGCTTCAAGTAGAAGGAACATGCTTTGAAAATGATGATGGCAACATTTATATAAATGTGCTTGAAACAACTGATGTATGGATTGTTATAAGAGCGGTAAGAGCCCCCAGTAAAACAAGTCATTAAAAAAAAGTGTGTTGTTTCATTTCTCAGAAGTTCAGTATATTCGTCAGTGAGAATGGAAAAGGAACGCTTACGTCATCCGGGCAGGAGGTATCCGAAGGCGAGAGAAGTTAGGGGTTGGCTTTAAACAGGACGGAGTGAAAGGAAGGAGAATTGCCCGTGAGTAGATAAGGTGACATGAACGTGTGCGCTCATTGATCCCTACAATTTTCTACGAAATCAGCAGCCGGTCCCGAGGCAAGGAAGCAATGAATAGGATTACAGGTGGGCAAACCGGTGGGGAACTGACATCAAATTGGCAAGGCCGGAGGCGGGCATTCCATTCTGCCCGGCGGGACCGGTCCCTCCGGGCGCTCGGTAGTGCGCGCTGCGTTTCCTTGGAGACGGAGACCGAGCCAAAGCGTCGGTCCGGCGGGGCAGTCCCGGTGCCCTGGGCAACCGCACGATCCACACCGAGGAGGCCGCAGCTCCACAAGCGTCCTCGAAGACCAGCGCCCTCGGACCACAGCCCTTCTTCCATGGTCTCCGATGGCGCGCGTCCTCCCAGAGTGGGTAACGAGGGGTCGGGGTGGGAGAGGATGGGCCAGTGACCCACCCTGTTCACCTCCCCTCCTCTCGGTTCGCACCGCCTTCCGGCCCTCCTCCCTCCTCTCCTCCTTTCCCACCTGGTTCCCCTGGGTCCCCAAGAAACGACTGTGTAGGGTTCCAGACCCCACGTCTGTCTTGAGTTTGCTGGCTGCAGTCTCCCTCGGGGCTGAGCAGGATGCTGAAGTTCTGTCCTGTCTGTCAGCAGGCCTTCCAGCTACACCCGTTCTGGGCTTCACCCTCAAATCCACAGATACCAGGCTCCGGTGAGTCCCGGGCGGCTGGCGAGGGAGTGGGCACCTGGACCTGGGTCCGAAGTGATGGAGTCTGGACACTGGAATTCCAGCCCTAGCTGCGTGTGTTACACATTTGCCGTCTGAATCTCAGTGTTCACCCCCCAATTCCCGCTCCGCATATTAAAACCCATTGCAGACCTGGAGAGCTCCACGTGACCCAGTAGAACTGCCCCAGGCGGTTTTCTTGGCTGTAATCCTTAGCGAAGCAGCTCGCCAGGCCCTTCCTTCACGCTGCCCCTGGGTAGATTCTAAATGCCAACTATTTGGTTGTGGTCCGAGGGCACGAGGCATCTGATGGACAACAGAGACACTGACCGGCCCTGAGCCATCCTCACATTTGTCCCGATGTTTGAGCCCATGGTGGCAGCCACTGTGAACATCTCCCTGAGGACCTTCCCCTTTTTCACTGCCCCTCCAGTTGACCAAACACATGTCCTTCTCCAGGGACAAGTATCTCTGTCCTTGCCTCCATAAGGACCAAAGTTGGGGCTGGTTCGTTTGCTCCTTTGAGTCTGTGGGGCTTTCAGTATTCTTCGCCAGCACCAGTCGGAATGCATCGATTAGCTGAGTCGTTGAGTGCAACGGCTGGTAGATTTCCTCATCATGAGTGTTGGCCTCTCCCATGCCTGTGTTTCTCATCATTCCCAGCAGCTCCCTGCTCAGGTGTGCCCAGTCCCCAGTGGCTGGCTGATAAACCAGTGAAAACTCATGTTTAGGGAAGCACTTGGCATAGGCTTTACACATCCCCATTTCTCAGAATCCTCACACCAGCCCATGGAGATAGGTGTTAGTAGTAGATTCCGTTTCTAGAGCGGCAGCGTGAGGTTCTCAGAGGTAAAGCACTCAGAAAATCATTGCCACTGAGTGGATTCTAACTCAGAGTGACCCTGCGGGGCAGAATAGAACTCCTCGGTGACCTCTGAGGCTGTCTTTACAGGAGCAGGAAGCGTGAGCTCCTACCCCACGAGGGCTCCCTGGTAAAGTGCTGGGTACCTGTAATGGGTGGGACTGGGCTTTGAGCCAGCAGCCCCATGTGACGAATTACCTGTATCTGATAGGATTATGGCCCATGGCAGCGGTCTAAAAAGAAAACGAAGCCTTCTATTCTACTTCCAGTCCAGCCAACCAGCAGCCACAAGAAAAACAAAACAAAGGCGTTGACTAGCGTCCAGCCAGGTGGGCAAAGGCACTTGGGGGCTGATTTAGGGGTTGCGGGACAGGGTAGAGTGACTCTTGTTTGCCCCTGGTGACACCATTTGTGTCAGGCTAGCAGCTATAAACTTTTTTTTTGGTTTTCATTGTCTTCATCTTTGGCTTCAGTTGTTGGTGCATGGATTGGACTCAGTGGGATGACTGGGCTTCCAAGTAGGTGTATGAGTGCCCTGTCAGTGCCGGTGTTGTACTTCAGGATAGAACTCCAGACACTCTAGTTGACCATGAACGTGTCCCCCTGCATCTTTGATTTGTCTTTCCCAATACAATAGAACATGTGATGGTCTGATTAAAAAAAAAAGGCCCATACCAGTCATTTCCGCTCACTAATGCCCAAGACACTGGTCTTCAGGCCTTCCATTTCATGTTTGACAACTCCCAGCTTTCCTGGATTCAAGCTTTTTTGTTTGTGTGTTTTTGGATTCCTACATAATACATCTTGCATTTTGATTATCAGCGGAGATGGTAGCTGTTTCTTCTCATTGGGGCACTGCCACACAAGCAAAGGAAGGTCCCGAAAGTTTTTCACCATCTGCCTCATTATTGACTCCGCAAAGGCATTTGTCTGTGTGGATCACAACAAATTGTGGATCATGGCGTGAAGCATGGACATTTGATTGTCCTCACGAGGAACCTTTACAGAGACCAGGAGGCAATTGTTCAAAATCGGGAGAGGTACGTACATACGTGCAGGGTTCTGCATGCTTTTGTTCCATGTCTATGGAGTTCTGGTGGCTCCACGTTGGGCTGCTAACTGCAAGGCCAGCAATTCAAAACCACCTGCTGCTCCATCAGGGAGAGACAAGGCTTCTAGGGCCTGCGGGGCTAGGGTCTTGGAAACCCACAGGGCAGTTTTATCCTGTGTGTAGGGTCCCTGTGAGTCAGTACTAACTCGCCGGCAGTGGGCCCGTTGGTGAGACTCAATCTGTCAACTGAGCAGTTGGAAAACCGGAAGAACCCAACCTCAGGACCGGAGGAAGACTCCTGAGCACCCTGGGATACTTAGCGGACACGGCCGTGAGAGCTGGAAGTGAGGAGGACCGGAAGTACTTCCTGCTGAAGATCCAAGACTGCAGCCTTTTATCTTGTGGATTACACCTCAACATAAAATACCCCCCCACCCCTACACACACAAAACTGGACCAGTCAGCCAAATCTTGATACAGGGAGAAAGTAGTGAAGTTGTGATGGGTTTCATTTGACTTGGACTCCCAGTCAACGCCCCTGGAAGCAGGCCGTCGAGAAGAATCAAAGGACACATTGTGCTGGGAATTATCTGTTGCAAACGAGCTCTGGGAAGTGTGACAGAGGAGGGATGGCCCTTTGAGGACGAAGGTGCGCCTGACCCAAGCCGTGGTATTTTTCAACCACCTCACACGGTGGCAAAAGCTGGACAATGTATAAGGAAGACCAAAGAATGGATACATTGGAATTGTGCTGAAGAACACGGACTATGACCCCAGACTGCCGGACCAACAACCCAAGCTCTCTGGGGGAAGAACAGATAAGAATGTTCCTTAGAAGTGAGGATGGTAAGACTTTGTCTCACAGGCTTTGGGCATGTTATCAGGAGGGTCATTCCCTGGGAAAGGACATCCTGCTGGCTCAGTGACAATGAGCATGACCCAAAATGAGGTGGACTGAGGCAGGGCCTGCCATCACGGGCTCAACTCTGGCAACGATGATGCGGATGTGTTTCCTTTTGTTATACCGAGGGTTGCTATGAACCATTGCCAGGCCTTCCTGTCTCAGCTCTGCCAGCTCCTTCCTTGGCAGTCATTTATCTCTCGAAGCCTCAGTGTACTCACTTGTAAGTTGGGGACAGTGACACTTGCCTCCTGAGGCTGTCCTCGGTATTAAATAGAGGGCTGAGGTAAACCAGCATTACCTTTTCCAGACCCAACATCTTTTAATAACAAATATTTTGTTATTAACCCAACCCAGCTTACTGTTACAGAGTTGATTCTGACTCATAGCCGCCCTCTATAGGGTTCCCAATCTCTCCTTTGGTATTCTTAAATGAGGTTCACAAATAGTATTACCTACCTAGGTACCTAATTACATAGTTGTATGGTTCTTGTATATTTTAAAAACACGTATTCTGGAACTGGGTTAATTAAAAAAACAAAAACCGAAAACATCGAAACTCACTCTCATCGAGTTGATTCTGAATCACAGTGACCTTCTAGGACAGAGCAAAAAGGTCCCTTTGCGTTTCTGAGACTTTGAACTCTTTATAGGAGAAGACAGCCGCATCTTTCTCCCTTGGAGCGGCTGGTGGATTCAAACCACAGACCTTGTGTTTAGCAGACCAGTATGTAACCCACTACACCACCATTGCAATCCCCTTAACTCCTTTAAGAAGGAGCCCTGGTGGCACAGTGGTTATGTGCTTGGCTGCTAACCAAAAAGTTGGTGGTTTGAGCCCAGGTACAGCATGGAATACGGCTGCGGCCGTCTGCTCCTGTGAAGCTGGGCCGCAGGGAAAACCTCCCGGGGCAGTTCTGTTCCACCCTAGTGGGTCACTGTGAGTCCCAACAGACCCAGTGGGTTTTAAGGCGTCTAACCGAAATTTTATATATATAAATATATATTTCTTTTTTTTCAGTTTCATTTTCAAATAGTTCGTGTGCCTGATTAGCAGAGTCCATTTACGTCTTGTAAATATAATAAATAAACTTCCATACCAGGGTACTGTGTGTCTTCTTAAAAGTTCCGGTTATAGACTTAATAAGAACATCTTCAACGTTTCCACTTAAAACAAGTCAAAATCCAATGGACCTACTTGTTGTTAGCACCGCAAGGACAAGTCTAGCCATCATCCGACCTTTTTATACCCTTAAGTACCAAATCAAATCCACTTCACACCAAAGCAACGATTTTACATTCGGTTCATCCGCTTGATGTTGAAGATGAATATTTCCCAGAGTGAAAGCCCCTGGCCCGTTCAGAGAGAAGGGATGTTTTTCCCTGGTGAGCGGGTTGCCGGATGGACTGTGAACGGGGAGCCGAAGCTCCTTGGATGACCTGTCTGGTGCAGGGTCAGGTCAGGCTGCCGAGCCCGCGGCTTCAAATGTGCTGTTCTCATTGGATGCCCTTCATGTGCTGCTTAGCTCCGAGGCTGTTAGGGTGTTCCAGAGACAGCCTTGGGTGCTGTGTCCCCATTGCCAGGTCATTCGTTAGAATTTTGTCAATTTGTCATGTATATCCGGTCCTGAGTAGTGTCAGGCACTACTGGCAGGTGCCCTCTGATGGAATCTTCCCCACAACCCTCGGAGGTAGGCGAATTGAGTCCCATTGTATTCACGGGGGAAAGGCGAGGACAGAGAGGTCAATGCCAGCAGGTGGAAGGGGGAGTGGGTTCCCAGCCAGCCTGGTTTTCTCCTTAACCCGCCTCCCGCCGGACATTCCCCCCCGCCCCCCACCTGTCTGGTCCCTGGGAGAGCAGGGATTTGGGCTCGAGCCTGCTGTCCCACACTGCTCAGCTCTCAGCAAGAGACAAGAGAGTGGGAATCCTGGCTGGCTGTCGGATGAGAAGGACTGAGAGCAGGGGTGCCCAGTTGGGTCTTGGGTTGGCTCTCTCTGCCCCTCCCTCCATAGGCAGTCCCCGCTCTCTCCTGAGCTTGTCCCTTCCTTGTGTCAGGGCTCAGAATGGGGACTTATGAATGGGTGTGAAGGCCGCCCTCTGTCTCACAGTCACACCTTGTTGGGCTGTGAGACGGTGGGACTGGGCCTCTGCTACTCGGTCTCTGGGACCTGACTGTTGCCCTGTCCTTCCTGTTTTCCTCTGGCAGTTCACTCCGAGCCCTTCTTGGTGGCGAAGCCGCCGAGGAAGCAGCGCAAACCGAGCAGAGGGGAGAAGGTGGACCCTGGAGGGGTGCAGGCCAGGATCCGGCTCATGCGGGTATGCGGGTCTGGGCAGCTGGGTGGCCGGCAGCACGGACACACTCAGAGCCTTCTGGGGCTCCAGCCTGGAATCACTGCCCCTCCCAGCATCCCTGTTCCTCCTCATTCCTGTTCACAAATGGGGAAACGGAGGCACAGGGAGCTTAAGGGACTTCCTCAAGGTACCGGAGCCAGAGTCACCGTGGCTCAAAGCCAGGGAAACCAAGCTTCGGCCAGGAAAACCATCAGAATCATGTTTTACTTCACTACGTTCGGAAAGATGCAGCGGCTTGTACAGCTACAGCTTGCCAGTGACTCAACCCTCAGGGAACCCGGGCACCTTGAAAAAGGGCTGCTTTCTCACTGTTTAGTGTTTGACGATGACGTTAGGGGCCCTCAAAGCGGTTCCCACTCAGCGACCCTGTGTACCACTCTTAGTGACCCTGTCTACCGCTCATAGCGACCCTGTGTACCACTCGTAGTGACCCTGTCTTCCTCGCCTAGTGGCCCTGTGTACAACAGGACGAAACACTGCCCAGGCCTGCTCCGTCCTCACCGTTGTTAGGCTGGATCAGCCCAGGGTTACAGCCCCTGTGTCAATCCGGCGTATCGAGGGTCTTCCTCTGTTTGGCTGGTCCTCCGCTTCCGGAATTATCTAAACCGGCGGTTCTCAACCTGTGGGTGTCAACCCCTTTGGGGGTGGAACGACCCTTTCACAGCTGTCACCTGATTCATAACAGCAGCAACATGACAGTGATGAAGTGGCAATGAAAATAATGGCGTGGTTGGGGGGTCCCCACCACATGAGGAACTGTCGGAAAGGGTGGGAGCATTAGCAAGGTCGAGAACCACTGATTTAAGCAATGTTCCAAAGTGTTGAAATGACCAAGCTGGTTCCACGATTTTTACCGTCCAGAGACGTTGACCGCCTTGCTGGAGCCGTGCAACCGTTCTCCCGAGAGGTCCCGAGCTGGTCCTTCCTCACTGGGATACACTCACCGTCCTGCTCAGTTTCCTTCCTGACCTTTGCACTCGCTATTGACAATCTGACGCCCTATAAGCAGACCTTAGAAAGGGCACGGTGCTTAAGGAAGACATGTTTCACTACTTAAGCTAAACTAGTATTTGGTTTTAAGAAGACATCCGGAGATATTTTTCCTTAGAGGTTTCAAAATGATCTCAGGGCCTTAGTGTCTGAGGTTCATCCAGCCCCCGTGGCCCCAGAAAATCTGGATTCCATGAGAATTTGAAATTCTGTCCTGCATTTTGCATTTGTTCCCCCACCCCCACCCCCTTTTGATCGGGATTGATCTCTAGATTCTTTGATGGTTAAAAAAACTTTTTTTGTCTTTTACAGCAACTCCTTATTTTGATGCTATAGTTTTCCCGACTTTAGAATTGGAAGGTAGTTTATGAGTTTGTGTCTCAGGCAGATCAGGAGCCTCGATGCTTTGGCTGCAAAACCTGAGCTGCCAATCCCTTCCTAATGCTGCCTCTTATAATCAAGTCATTTGTTCGTTTACTTACCCCAATTATATCCTGAGCGCCTACTGTGAGCCAGGCCCTGCGCTCTAGTGGTTTGGCTTCTGACCTTGGCGGGGATGGGTGGGGGGTGCTTCATGTTCTCCTGGGAGGGAGATACAGTAAGCATGGTCAACAAACAGGTGTTGTGTTGGGGAGAACTGGGGAGAAGGTTCAGCTGGAGAGACGCAGAGCGTCGAGGAGCAAGGGGCGATGACTAAGAGAGGCTGGGCAGGGAAGGCCATCGAGGTAGGGGCCAGCTGAGCTGGGACCTGATGGAGGTGAAACGGCCATGTGATATCACCAGGAGGACTGGCCAGAGGGCCCTGAGGCCGAAGTGGCTGGACAAGCGAGTGAGGAGGAAAGATGGGGCGTAGGTGACGATGGGGGCAACGCACCATCATCAGACCTGGAGTTTCGATGCCAAGTCTGGCTGGAAAAGCAGAGGAGTCATGATATGACTTAGGGTTTCCCAGGTGCCCCTGGGCTCTTGTTGCCAGGCCCTGTGCCAGATATACCTGTGGAGGCCATGGCATGGAGGCCACACCTGACCACCCTCGGCTTCCGTCGGGTGAAGGAAACTCCAACTGCTCAGCACCCCCAGGCCGATTGACCATTGCCAGAAGGCAGAGGTCAGCCGTGCCTCCACCCTCCATTGTGCTCACCCCATTCCCACACCCGCGCCCCCTTCCACCACACCTTACTTCTCTGCTGCAATGTCTACAGAGAACTCATAGCCATTACTCAGCAATAGGAGGGTTCATCAGGGAAGGTAGCAGGTTACCCCAAGTCAGGATCAGGAAACGGTGAGAACATAGTCTTGTGTCCACAGCAGCACCCCTTCTCAGCCAGCAGCCACGTCGGAGTCTGGGCCTCAGCCTCCCAGCCACGTGGCCCCGTGGCCTCTGTTCTGTGGGCTGGGAAACCCACTGTGCCACCTCACAGCCTCCTTGCTCTGTGTCATGGTCTCTGCTGCCTCCTCCACTTCCGGCAGGGATCTCACACAAGCTTCACCGGTAGCTCCTCCTCCTTGATGGTCACGGGATTCTTCTCTGTTCCTGCTTCTGAGACAGCGCTCTTATCCCCAAAGGAATGGCAACACGGACCAGTCCCCTCTATTGGTGCTTCACACACCCTATTTGCATGGCCACGCCCAGCCATTGGGCAGAAGTTAGACAGAACTGGATGAAATGCCATAAGGATATCAGGCTGTTTCATCAAAGCCGTGAGCAGGACACCCCGTTGGTGCTGTCAGAGAGCTGCTCCTTCCATGGGGAGACACCGAAAGCAGGTGCAAGAACACCGGCGGACAGCCTTTCATGAGCTCCGTGCCCTGCTCTGTCTGCTGGGGCTGCAGTTGTGGCCAGATGGACACAAAGTCCACGCTCCTCCGGACGGAACATCTTAGTGAGGCAGGACAGACCAGAAACGAGAGAAAGGTTGCGTGTCCGATGGTGGTAAAGCTTAGAAAAAAGGACATTAGGGAAGTGAAAAATAAATCATGGAATTATAAACTGTAATAAGTGAAGACTGAGCTACCATTGAGTCGACTGCGACTCAAAGCCACCTTGCAGGACAGGGTAGAACTGCCGCTTGAGTGTGTGACTTTCTGAGATGGTGCCTCTCTATGGG